GGTTGTTTTTTTTTGTTATTTGCTTGGAACATTTAAAATATGGTTGACTCCAATCTAACTACAATCCCAGTCGGCAATGTTCCATGTAGGAATATGGGTGTATGTTTGAAAACTTACAATTAGGATGAAATGGAATAAAATGAGACTTGAGAAGAAAGCCTGAAGGGATGTTAGAAGAATTTTGTTTAGAGATTTTATGAATTTATAGGGAATTGTTCTATCGATGGGTAATCATACGGCAAATTTGGCGATACAAATGGCCGGTTCAGCTTGTTTATATCATTTATGCAAGTGAGTCTTCGTCTTTGCCTTCTTCTTTGGCTGTTCTTTTCTGTTTCCATTGTTTCTTGTTCTGTTAAATTCTTTTTTCAAAATTAATTCTTTGTGAAATGTCTTTTGATCTCAAACGATTTCTGAGTGGTTTTGATTATATTATAGTATTGAGATGTTGAGTTTGCTAGTATTTATTGATTCGATTCATTTGTTCATTTGTTTGTTTTAAAAAATAAATATTGCAGATTGAAGCGTTCAAGAACGTTGACAGCAATGGAAACGCGACGATGTGTTGATAGGTGTTTAGATGCGGCTGAGAAACATGCAAAAATATTACAAGTTGGTTGATTCTCAGAATTTTATTGCATCCGGAAGGATTTTAGAATTAACGATGGGAAGAATTTGCAATAAGTAGTGATTGTTAAAAATGTGATGAGATTTATACGGAGAGTTTGGGTGTTGTTTACATGGTTGGGTTGCCTAAAAATAAGAAAGGTACTAGTGAAGATGAGAGAAAAATGAAGTGAATTCATCAGCTGTCTTCGGTTTAGTGGTCTGTTTTGTTGTCAATATTGATAATCAAATATGAAAATCTTAGTTGTTTTTTTGTTATTTGCTTGAAACATTCAAAATTTGGCTCACTCCAATCTAACTACAATCCCAGTCGGCAATGTTCCATGTAGGGATATGAGCATATGTTTGGAAAGTTAGAATGAAATAGAATAAAATGAGACTTGAGAAGAAAGCTTGAAGAGATGTTAGAACAATTTTGTTGAGAGATGTTAGAACAAATATGAGTGAATGATAAAACGCGATTGCAGTTACAAAAGAACGTGTGGCTAACAATCTGCAACGATCATCTGTTGCAAACACAAAATATTGATATGTATCGAACTTGCGCAGTTGCTCTGGAAGCGATGGTCAATACCAGGGATCCATCAGTGTCGAGGTATTGTTTTCGGGGATTGAAGTGCTTGAGTTTGTTGATTTTAATCATAGACACGTTTAGTAAGATGAAGGATGATCTTTAGAAATGTTTTTCTTTTCAAAATTTAACTTTCAGAATGACGATCGCTATTGTCTCAATCTTGGCACCAAAGATTCCGACCACTCAGAGTCATGCGCTAGCAACGAATCATCGTTATGTGCGTTATCTGATCGATGTGATTCGTGAGAATATTCCTGCATCGGATGCGCCGAATGATAATTTCAATGATTTTACGATCAAATTCACTCTATCCGCATTATGGAACTTAACAGGTTTTT